TTTCTTTCTTTCTTTCTTTCTTTCTTTCTTTCTTTCTTTCATACAGGAGATTGTACATTGGGCCCTTTCAGCAAACATGATGATTACAGCAAAGTGGCCACCCTAGGCTTAATAAGTAAAGGAATTGTGGAGGGTAAGATTGATCAAAGGGCTCAACGAAAGGGAGAGAAGCCCCCAAACCTTTCATTTTCTGACCTTGACTTTGACTGTAGGCACCTGAGAGAGGCATACTGAACATTGGAAACTCAGAGATAATCCATGCCAGAGCACAGAAACCCCTTCAACTAGCAGGACACGCCAGGCAAGTCAAGCTCCTCGTTTCTGCGAACGACAGTGTACCAGGGCTGGTGTTGAGCACTTCAGTGGGATCGCTCCACTGACATTCACGAGGATTCAAGGACTATTATTATCCCTTCGATGCTGTTTGAGGCCACCAGTCACTGAGTGGTGGAGATAAGAGTTCGGCCCAGGTGCTTTGGGGAAAATGTCCTCTCTCCAAGAGAAAATCACAAGAGATTGTTTCTCCTTGTTCTTCTGGATTGTCATATATAGAGATGAAACAGTCACCTCAAAAATACAAAAGGAAGAAGACTTAAGATGAAGCAGATGGTGAGGACAGGAGAGAAGAGAGACGGGAACAACCTGGGCCATTGGTGACTACTGAGCAGCTCATTGGGCTGTCCTCAGGAGACATCCTTCCTCCAAATGTGAGATTTCACGTTCTCTGGTTATTTAAGACAGCTAGAGTCAGGATTTTGTGTTACTTGCAGCCAGAAGCATCCTAATTGATCTAGGCACATACACAAGGGCCCAGTTAAGGGCTTGTATGTATAAGAAGGGTTTCAGAAACGACGAATGATTGGGCAGTGTTCTTCATAGGGTCAAACTCCTGACCCGGGACAGCTCCTTCCTGATTGACTTTCCAGCACCCATTTTAAACGTTTACTGAAAATCCTTTCTTTTCCCCTGCAGAGTTTCCTCTCCTTCTTTTGTATTAACTGTATACCGGGAATTGACCAGTTCCCAGCACCTGGTGGTAGGTGTTGATTGGCAAGACACGAAGAGAAGCCCATCCCCCTAGCTTTAGCCACAGTGATTGGTTCAAGAATGACTTTGGGTTCCATGACAGGCCAATGAGATATGAAAAGAGGTTTTTCCTAGAGCTTCTGTAAAAGGATCTTTCTCACTCTTCTAAAACAGAAGCCCTCTCTCTCTCAATCTCAATCTTCCTGGGGAAGGAAACGTACTCCAGCTGATTTCCTGGCTGCCATCTTTCTCTCAAAGAGAGGAGGCGGCCATTGAATGAAGCTGACACCCGAGCAGCCAGAACAGAGAGGCAGTAAGAAAAGGACTGCAGTGACCCTAAAGTCCTCTCTACAAGTGGGTTTCCCACTACATGAGCCAATGCATCCCCTTTGTTGTTCTTACCAGTTAGAGCTACTGTCACTTGGAAACAAAGGCATTGTTGCAGATACACATACACACACACTCGATCCACCTGGCATTCTAACAGAAAGCCCAGGATGGTGTTTGGGGTTTGTGCCCGGAGACTTTGGCCGGAGGTTTCTACTCATCACCAGGTGAGTGGAATAGTGACCATAACCACTGTGAGACACTCCTGAAGGTCTTTAGCAGACAGTGCACAGTGGGGAAGGAGGACACTGGGAATGTACACTGGAGATTTGAGCACAAAACCCAGCACA